TTTTTTTATGAGATCCATTTGTGGCGGACGATATTTAATTGTAGCGGCCCGCCACAAATAAATCAATGTATGGGAAACACTGCGATATATACTTCCACTTTGAATACCATCACCTGGTTGCTATCACACTATGATACATGCTACACTTATTATAAATACTGTTACTCGTGCTGGATGAGTAGTTTGTAAATTGTAAATTGTGAAACTTCTATTTGATCTTTAATATTTGATGCATGCTTCTTAATGAATATGAAGCTATCTTTGGCTCTTTACTTGCTGTAATCATGTACATTCTGATTCTGAGAGACTCACAGTTCTTGTCTGTATCTGCGGAGCTTGGATTTGGTGTCAGCGAGCTCCACAGACAGATGCTGCTTCTCCTCTTTGGTCAGGCCAGACGTATTGACAGACGATCCCCCGTTACTCATCCCCCCTCCTCCATGGCCCTGCCCCCGCTCCGGGCTGTTCATTCCCAGGTTCCTGCAGCCCTCCTGGGGCTGCTGGCTGGACAGGTAGTCCCTCTCCTGGGTCAGATCCACGATCACCTGAAAGGCAGAAGGGATGTTGCTGAATTCCCACCCCATTTGACTTTTCTCAATGAAATACTGGCAACATGTCTTATTATAATTGAACCATTTCCCGACATAAATCCATTCATTAGTGTAGAAAATCCTCTGAATCAGCATAATACCATGTTAAACCTATAAACTGGAATGTATCCATAATATCAATAGCTGATTAATGCTATGAAACCACTGCAAATATTGAAATGTACACATTATTACATATTAGAATTGTGATATCATTTTTTAATATAACTTCTTATGTTTATTTTAACATTGTTATATCATTTTTTTTATTGCACATTTTTACTTTAAAGTGGACCTATCATGCTATATTTGAATAATATAGTGTAGGACCATACCTATATAAGGCATATTTATACTTTTTATTTTTCAAAATACCAAACAGATCATGCATTTTAGCCATTCCTCATTTCGCTCAATGTAACACTGTCTTTGCATGGGCTGATTCTGTGAGAACAGCACCATCTACAGGCCTGGCATATGTACTACAGCATCTCCAGCGCTTTCCAACGGCAATGTCCGTGGCTTTTGCATGATAGGTCACCTTTAAGTCAGTTTTTTTATATTCCTATTTGATTCTATTTCATGTTATATTTTTATTGCACATGTTCCTTCAACTTCAACTTTTATTTGATGTTTTATTGCACAATTTTACATTTACTTCTTATACTTTATATATAAAAAAAAGTTTTATTCTAAAATGGAGCAACTGTTAAGAAACCCAATTTCTCTGGGAAAAACTGAAGCATTATGATTATAAATGATTTTGATATGTAACCAAGCGATCTGCATAATATTCATCATATTCTAAGTAGAAAATAATGGCTGGCATTTTTTATGGGGATTTGAAGTGTTTGAAACAACAAGTACAAGTATAACAGCAGTATCAGCCTGGCAGGGGTTGTTGTGTGTGAGTGTCCTTACCTCACTATCTTTGTCTCTCTGGTTGATCAGTTGCTGTAGCGACGCAGCCATGTTGCGGGACAGAGGCTCCAGCTCCTCCTGACCGAGCTCTGGCCCTTCATCCAGCCAGGAGAGGTCCAGGACGTTCAGCTGGTTGTGTGTCACCTGACACAGACAACACACACACCATTTTTATTTCAAATATAAGACCGGCAGTATACTCTAATATAAAACATAGTGACTTCCACCTTGCCAGTGGCGTAATAAATACTCATATTTTATTCTTAAATAAAAGTTACAATAATTCATTGTGAAAAATGAAAAAGTAAAAGTTCTGTATTCAAAATCTCACTTGAGTTCAAGTTTAATTATTGAATTAATTAATTTGCTGGAAATGTTAACCCATGATTTGATGTCAATGTTTATTTATTAGTTAATTTTGTATTAGTTAATTTACACATTCAGTTCAGATTCTAGCACTTCATCATATCTATTGGTAAGACTATTCAAATAAGATGTCACTTATTACAGCTGCATACTAATTAATGTATTCATTGACTTGTGAATGTATTACATTTTTTATTTGGCTTGACTTGTTTGACAAGTGTGAGTTTAAACAATGCCCGTCCATACAGCAAGTGATGACTCTTTGAAGTAAGGTTAACTAGCATGCTAACATGATTAGCATGACCCTTTCATCCAGCAGATAATAGCCCAGTGTTTCCCCTAGGATGGAGTCATAGCAGCGGTGCTAAGGCACAGCAAAATGTGAGCGCGGAGCACGTGGAATTTTTTAGTGTGTGCGAAGTGCACCCCGCCAATATGTTTCTATGTGTCTGCCCGCACAAGAAAGGCTCTTGAGGCGCTACAGGTGTATTTTGCTAAATCACCTTTATTGAACATACAGTAACACAAATACTACACATCCATATAACAAACAATCAAAATAAAATGTATGCAATTTATTTATTTTAACCTGCTTTATTTGGGGGTGGACCTAGGGGTCACGTATTATTATTTTAATGTATAAAAAAAGAAATTATAATAATAATAATACAAATAATTTTGTTTTTTGGGTACCTGGCTGGCGCCCCGTAGCAGCGGCCCGCATACATTGTATTTAGGGGAAACACTGAATAGCCTCTAAGAAGTAAATGCATGAATATATATGGCATCATCTACAGAGTACAGAAAACATTACAGAGTTTTATAGTCTTCCGCCCCGGAATTATTATACTTCCAGAAAGCTCAAAGAAGAAATCTGATGTCTTTAAACAGAAACTGAGGTTTTCCTATAACAATAACCACCGTTTTAAATGTAAGAAGTTTCACATTCTGTAAGTATACAGTGGTGCAGGAATGAGGTCTGATCTGAGGAATGTGTTAGCATTTGAAAACTTCTGGTTTCCTAGTCTCAACAAAAAACTCAACAAAATAAAAAAGCTTTTTTTGAGTTTTTGAGAATTCACATTTTGTTCTATGTCATAAAATAAGTTAGCGGTGGTGATGGGCAGCCATGCAACCATGATGTAGTTTCTTTATAACCTTATGTTAGTTTTGACTTCTGGCTATTGCATTGACACTTAAAAAATGTCAAAGTGGTGTTACTATGTGGAGATTATCTTGCTGAATAAAGCATTTGAAGTATCAAAAAGGATGAGTTCGGGGTCCGGTTATGACACGCAGCTGAGAGGTCGGGCGGGACGAGGCTCCGACGAAATTAATATATTTCTACAATATTTAGTATCCAAATCGAGCTACTTGTGACCGAAAACATTTGCCAATATAGGCTTTATTTCGGATAATGTCGAAAAATCGAGGGAGAAGACAGAAAGACGATAAAAAGACAGAAATTGGAACTCTACACGAGGACATCACGGACGAACAGACACCTAGCGATAGCACGATGCTAGCCCAGGTGGACTATAGCCAGGATGAGAACCAGATCTTAGCAGCCATACAATCCATGAGAAATGACTTTTCTGGACAACTACATGAAGTGGTTTCTTCCAACCGAGAGATAAAAGAAGCTATCGGGGCATTTTCTGAAAGGCTCACAGAGGCAGAAACCCGCATTAGCACAGCGGAGGACCAGATCGCTTCGCTAGCAACCCAAGCTAATGCTACGCAGAAAACAGTCCAGAAGCTCATCTCACAGATGGAAGAGCTGGAAAACAGACAACGCCGCACCAATCTGAGGTTGGTTGGACTACCCGAAGGATCGGAGAGTGGAGATGCCCGTACATTCCTAATGACATGGCTTCCCAGGGTGCTTGACATTGAA